AAAAAAAAAAAAAAAAAAAAAAAAAGAATTAGGTCTTTATTAAATATGGGATCTCAATTCTAAGTTATGGATTTGAGTGTAAATAAGGTAGAATCAATTTTTCTTCTTCGAAGCAAAAGGACTTAGAGGAAAAGAATTCTAGCTTTTGTAGTAACATTGCAACCGGATTTCCAGTTTGTAAACACAGTTACCATAGTTGTAGATCAAATGTGCACACGAGAATGTCAACAATTTATGGGAGCATTTCCTTGGGGAGGAGTGGGGAGAGGAAAAATTCTGTGCAGTAGTCACAAATGAAGGCGTGGGGATAGCCCAACATAGCCCATTCCGTCTCTCTCCTCATATAGTCACAGGCTGCTTGCTTAGCCCGTACTCACCGACACTGTGCACCCTTGTGTTGCCTTCAGTTGAACTGTCATCTTCATTCGGTGAGCTTTCTGCTTTCTTGGCCTTTATAATAACAAGAGCAGAAGTTGAAGTCTACTTTAGGGAAAGCCTTTACATAATTTATATTTCCACTGTGCGTACCTTCACAGATCTTTTCACACTCCACTCGTTTCAGATCTCAGAAGGAGAAGACAGCAGCCGCAACCGTGGAAATAGATAGTAACCCTCTGAGAACAGGAGCCATTTCTATCTATCTTTATGAACTGGGTTCAGTGCTATATCTCTGGGGGTTACCCAAGAAACATTGGAACTAATACCAGAAGCTAAGTTGGAACCTCCCCTTTGGTTTGGGAAAACAGTAAAAATGCGGTACTACCACGTGATTCTATAGTTAAGACATGATTACATTAGTAATCTGTGACGCTATTGGGAAATGTTTCTTACCAGGTTTCTAAAATGTAAGAAAACTCCTGCCTTAGAATGGCAGCAGAGTTCTCAGGAATCGAAATTAGTATTCACCTTGCCCACCAAAAGCTGTGCTAGGTGCTCCTGGTGGGTGGCTGCCAGAGTTTTGCACGAAAGCTCCAAATGATTAAACAACCAAATAGCAATATGTTTCTTCCCTTCCCTCACCCTGTTGCCGCTTCCCGATTATCATTTTGGTGTGTGTTTGCTTCATGAAGCTGTAGCTGAAGTCTTTGTTCTTTGCCTTTATAGCTAAATCAATAAACATTGCTGGATCTCTTACGTTATTATGTTAGAGGCATTCTGCTAGACATTGGTGATCAACTTGACTATGACCTGGCACCTGCTATCAAGGCATGAGAGCAGCAGTTGTCATGCCCGCCATCCCTCTTATCTATCAGAATTTACCACTCTAGTTAGTGCCAGGGACGTTCAACTGCCAGTATCTGCATCTCTGTGCCTGGAAAACCACGGCACTCTGTATGGCCTGCTCAAGGACAGACTGGAATTGCTGGGGAATTCACACCTCTCCTAGTAATCCTCAGCTTACATAAAAGCCATAGCTCCCTCACTCTCCAAAGGGGCTAATTCAGAGGAATGTGCTTTACATGGCTTTAATTATGTACCGTTGATTAGCTTCCTTTGTTCCCTGAATTTCTCAAACAAAGTGCACTAAAATCCAGGATATGCTTCTAGGGGATCCCAAATAAAACAGGCACTTTCAGACTAATGATGGAGATGTAGAGAAAAATAAATAATTATAATATATTTTAGTAATGTACTAAGAGATGAGCACACGGGATTGCAAGAGCACAGAGAAAGGTCATGGCTACTGTTTGAAAAGCTAACCACTTTATCGGACAAGCATCATTGTAAACGATCTCACCCCTCGGTTTTCTGCAGGTTCGCTGGTATCTACATTCTCATTCTCACGTGCTTTTTCTCTTTGCTCCTCATAGTTAATGTGATAGTAATTGGATTGAGCTCTTTCATTCTCCAGGAAAGCCTCGCTTGGGTTGAAGTCCTCCTCACTCGCACTGTGCCTGGGGCCATCATCGCCGTCATCATCAGTCCCATGATTTCTGGGCATGATGTTACCACCATCCGTAGGCTCCACCAGCAAAGGCTGAGAAAGAGTCTTTTTGTCCATCTCCTCATGGTTGCTGATAACTTCAAGGCCAGGCTGTCCTTCTTGGCTCTGCCATTCTTTATCTTGATTGGGCTTACTGATTTTTGATGCAGTCTCCTCTTCCATTTCTGCATTGGAGATTTCCTCTTCTTGTTCTTGGCCACCCTGTTCAAATTCATCTTTCTGCATCTTGCTTACTTGAGTTGGCTGATAGGACTCTTCCAAAATATCATCAGACTGTGTACTGTCTTCTTCCTGGTTGCTGGTAGAATGCTGCTCGGGAGCGTCTCTCTCTCTTTCTTGGCTATCATTGTGGGTACCAATTTGACCTGGCTCCTCCTCTTCCCCATTTGGGATATTTGGACCCTGCTCTTGGTTTCCTTGAACACTTAGGTCTTGGCTATGTTCGCTGCTCCCGTTCAGCTGAGGATGTGAGCCATTAATAGGTTGTTCTTGGTTTTCCTCTGTCTCTGTGATGCTTTCTTGTTGATTAGAATCTACAGTGGAACTAACATCATGACCAGGGAATCTCTCCGGGAGTTTTTCCTTTGGAGGCTCACTCATATCTTCTTTTAGGTCCAGTGTACCTTCAGTTGGTGTATACCCCAAATTCTCAATTAAGTCACTTTCACTTTTCTCTTGATCCTGTAATCCCAGGTGTTGGCTGTAACTCTGGTCCTGATCTGCTGACTGGTCATGGTTTTCCTCCTCTGACTTTAGTACTGAAGATTTTTCAGGCTAAAAAGAAAAAAGTTTATCCTTGAAACAAATGATTATGTCATATCTACATCATATTTACAATTCATAAGCCAACATTGAATATTTCTTAATTCTTTTTCTTCACATAATGTCTTATAAACTTATTTTTGATGTTCTTCACATTCAATAGCTACAAGTTTAACCTCAACTTGAATTTTTTGAAATAAAACAATTATTGTTTGAAATAAAACAATTATTTTAATTCAGCCCAAGAATTAAAAATCATTAATCCTCACAATTCTGTTAGAGATTGGAGGCAGTTGATGTGATCATCATCTTAAAGAAATCAAACTTAGAGTGAATCAGGTAGTCTCTTTGACCACGCTTTAGAATTGAGACCTTGAGAGACAAAAGTCTGTACTAGTATAACCATGTTACTTTTACCTTATGAGTGGGATGGTCTTCTATGGACACTTCAGTTTCATTTTCTGCGTCTTCAGCCCTTACAGTGGGGATTGCAGTGTGCTCAGATGGTACCAACATCTCAGCCTGTTGGAAGGAACTCAAGGAATCAGCAGTTGGGTTGGAATGATCAGATAGGAACCTTGCTTGTGTCTGAAAAAAATTAAGAACTGGTTTGTTTTTCATGCCTAAATGTTAATGTTTAAAATTTCTAGCTACTTTTTTCTTGTCGTCATTGTTAGTAGTAATATATTTCATTTATAATATCAGTTAAAAGATATTCTCTAGAACTTTTAAAGATACAAGCAAATAGTCAGAATGTAATCTTAAGTGAAAACAAAACCCCAATCGTGATTAAGAAAAAGTTATATATGCAAGAGAATGGGGGAAAATAGGGCCAAAATGATTTCAATAATAGCAACCTTTGACTTTTGGAATTATTTTCTGTGTTTTTCAAACTTTTACAAAGCATTGGTACTTTATAATTTTGAAAAATGTTGTTTAGCGTAAAGTTGAAATCAAATTAACCATAGGCTATAGCACTGGGCATTTTCTTAAATTAACTTCGAAGTATTCACTGATAATTAGCAGGAAAAGTTATAAAGCCTTTATTCAATATTTGCATACTTTCCTAACTCTATCAGTAGTAAAAAAATAATTTAATCTTGAACTAATTGAAAAACTGTATGAAACAGGACACCAAGTCTAGTAGGGCTGAACAGCTATGGAGTATTATTTCCTTTATAGGAATAGCTCTATTTCTAGCAAGACTGGAGGCATAGATGAAGAGCTGGGCTGTGATACATGATGGAGATGCTGAACAACTGGATGTAGAGATAAGAGACCTTCCTTCAAGTCTTGACTCTGCTATTTACTATGTGTGGTGGTTTGACAAATTGTTCATCTGTACTGTCTCATCTCTCAAGGTGAGGTGAGCAGAAATATCAAGATAAGGCTATGTATACAAGACATTTTGTGAATTTTAAGGGGTAACCCAAGTGAAAAATTACTATAGCTAGTAGTAATATCACACAGTGGTAATAATATGAACTGTCTGATATCTTAGGCAGGTATTCATCACAGATCTTTATTAGAGAGATACTGTGAACACTCATGTCAGACAGGTCCAGGTATAAGTATAAAACTCAGATTTTAATTGAATTGACTTGTCTTTACTCCATTACCAGGTCCTGTACTGCTGATTATATAATGTAAAGAAAGTCATGGAGTACAGGATTTTATTGATTGATTTAATTTTAAAGTGAAATATAAATTACTTTTTTAAAGTTTTTATTTCATATTGGAGTATAGTTGATTAACAGTGTTGTGTTAGTTTCAGGTGTACGGCAAAGTGATTCAGTTATACATATACATGTATCTATTCTTTTTCAAATTCTTTTTCCATTTAGGTTGTTACATAATATTGAGCAGAGTTTCCTGTGCTATACAGTAGGTCCTTGTTGGTTATCTATTCTATTCTATTCTAGTCTATTCTATTATTTTATTTATTTAGTTAGTTAGTTTTTGGCCACACCCCACAGCATGTGGGATCTTATTTCCCTGACCAGGGATCAAACCCACGCCTTCTACATTGGAAGGCAGAGTCTTAACCACTGGACTGCTGGGGAAGTCCTGTATTGTTTTATTAATTTTTATTGGAGTATAGTTGCTTTACAACGTTGTGTTAGTTTCTGCTGTGCAGCAAAGTGAATCAGCTATACGTATACATATATCCCCTCTTTTTAAGATTTCCTTCCCATGTAGGTCACCACAGAGCACTGAGTAGAGTTCCCTGTGCTATACAGTAGGTTCTCATTAGTTACCTATTTTATACATAGTCGTGTATATATGTCAGTCCCAATCTCCCAATTCATCCCTCCACCCCCAGGATTTGTTTTAGATGTGGTTTCTTCTCTTGCTTCTTATTACCTTTTCAACTAAAGGGAATAATCATATTTGAAAAAATTTCCAGAGAAGCCATTTTTAAGAGGAGCATGGAGAAAGAACAGTGGGCCAGTTTGGCAAGTTGCTGGCAGGGGCCTGATGGGGGATAATAGTGGGGGAGACTTTCGGCTTATTGATGGAGAACTACTCCCCGGCTCTGTGCCCTTCCTCCTCCACTCCCCCTCAGCAAGCTGGAAGAAATGCAACAGCTTATCTTTCAGAAACACAGCAGCTTATCTTTCAGAAATTTTCAGAAAGTGAAATTCTGTTTCATCATTCTCTCCACATGTAACAACATACCCTCTGGAAATCTGTGTGGTTTCTCCGAACCATACAGAACTCACTTATTTCTGGAGAATTCACACAGGCAGGGAAAATGATACAAGATTTTTAACAGGTATATCCTTTGAGAAGATACTTAGTTTTTGTTTGTTTGTTTTTTTTTTGTTTGCGGTACGCGGGCCTCTCACTGCTGTGACCTCTCCCGCTGCGGAGCACAGGCTCTGGACGCGCAGGCTCAGCGGCCATGGCTCACGGGCCCAGCCGCTCCGCGGCATGTGGGATGCTCCCGGACCTGGGCACGAACCCGTGTCCCCTGCATCTGCAGGCGGACTCTCAACCACTGCGCCACCAGTGAAGCCCGATACTTAGTTTTTTAACACGGGACTGAGTCTATGAAAAAAATTTTCCTAGCAGGGAAACATCTGGAACATGTCTATATGCAGGCGTGTCATTCAAACATTTAGTTCAAAGACCCTTTTGATGCTTGTTTACATAGTGGCAACAGCTGCAAGGGCAAACCGCATTTTCAAGAGAAAACAATGGTCCTGTGGGAACTTCTCTCTGTGCTGAACATATAAATTATTCCACTTCTGTAATTTCAGAGGAGAATTTATAATTACAGCTGGAGTAGCTCCTCGTTACTTAAGCATGATTCTTAGCAGTGCTCACAAATTCTTTTTTCTAAGAACTACTTGGTCTGGGTGGCATGGTGTTTATCCTTGCTGACACATCTGTCAACCAGAAGCTATCCAAAAAGCAAGGACAGGGACTTCCCTGGTGGTCCAGTGGTAAAGAATTTGCCTTACAATGCAGAGTACACGTGTTCGATCCCTGCTCAGGGAACTAAGATCCCACATGCCGCGGGGCAACTAAGCCCACGTGTAGCAACTACTGAGCTCACACGCCTCAACTAGAGCCCATGTGCCACAAACTACAGAGCCCATGCGTTCTGGAACCAGCATGCCACAACTGCAGAGCCCACACCACAACTAGAGAGAGGACTGCATACCACAACGAAGAGCCCAAGTGCCACAACTAAGACCTGATGCAGCCAAAAATAAAATAAATAAATAAATAAATCTTTTTAAAAAAAAAAAAAAAAAAGAATGGAGTATGCCAGTGGGGAAGAGCAGAACTTTTCACTAACCAATGAACAATTTTGTCTCACACGCCTCACCTAGAGCCCATGTGCCGCAAACTACAAAGCCCCCGTGTCCTGGAGCTCGCGCACCACAACTAGTGAAGAGAAAACCTGCACGCCACAACTAGAGAGAAGCCCGTGCACCACAAAGAAAGATCCCGCGTGCTGCAACTGAGACCTGACGCAGTCAAAAATAAATAAAATATATAAATAAATAATAAATAAATCTTTAAACAACAACAACAACAAAAGCAAGGACAGAATCTTAGACGTGGTAGAGAGGGAAGGAGAGAAGGAACAAGAGATAAATTGCTTTGTCTATTTCAAGGAGGTTGATTCATCCATTTTGGTGAAAAGGAAAAAATGGCACAAATCCTTTAGTCTAATTAAGGATGATATGGATCCTTTGGGAGATATCCAAATGATCATCCAAGCTACGGTCCCATTAAATCAACAAAGACAACTTTCAGGTATTTTGAGGCTGCTGACATGGTCTCATGATCTGATTTGTGTGTGGCTGATTTATTGCAGTGTGAATGGTGGGGCTAGTATATCTGGCTGTGAAGAAAAGAAAGTTCTGGTCCTGTCTGCTTTCAGCATGTTTGCTTGGACATACCCCCAAGTGTGAGTTAGGAGCTGATTTATGGTTACCATATCATTTCCTGTCCCTAACCTATTGGGTCCTGCTTTCATTATAGACTCAGGATTTCTCAGCCAGTATGTACTGATCTTGAAGAAAATGCTGCTGGTGAGTGTGGGTATTTGCTCCAAGATTTCTCATACTAATTTCTTAGATTTTTCATATTAGCCTGGTGAGCTTCCATAGGAGAATTTATTTCTTTGGTATTTGGGCATATTCCCTGGCTAATAGACTGTTAGTCAACACTTTCAGCTGCGTACTTGTATCTTGCAGAACCTGTTAGCTCTTAAAGAAATATTTTTTTGTCGACCTTTTTTTTGTTGTGTCTCGCGGCTTGCGGCATTTTAGTTCCCCAACCAGGGATCGAACCCGGGCCCCATGCAGTGGAAGCATGGATTCCTAACCACTGGACCACCAGGGAATTGCCAAGAAATATATATTTTTTAAAGTACCTTATTTCATTTTTACTAGTCATTCATTCTTTGCTTGGGAAAAAAATAATTTGATTAAAATAAAAATGAATTTATCTACAAAACAGAAATAGAGTTACAGATGTAGAAAACAAACTTATGGTTACCAGATGGGTAAGGTGGGGAAGGGATAAATTGGGAGATTGGGACTGACATATACACACTACTATATATAAAATAGATAACTAATAAGGACCTACTGTACAGCACAGGGAACTCTACTCAGTACTCTGTAATGGCCTATATGGGAAAAGAATCTAAAAAAGAGTGGACATGTGTATATGTATAACTGATTCACTTTGCTGTACACCTGAAACTAGCACAACATTGCAAGTCAACTATATGCCAATAAACATACAAAAATGAAAAAAGAGAACTTCAAACCATTCTATAAGAACATTTTATTTATTTATTTATTTATTTAGGGTGGTCCCTGATTTGTTTATTTCTTAAAAAAATTTAGGGCTATATAAAATCAAAAGCACCTCATAAGTGATATGATTAACACGCTACTAAGTAAATAGCACAAGCTGAAGAACATTGTCTTTTAAATGGAGGATTTCTAAATTGAATGTCAGGAAGGAGAGATGTAACAATAGAAGAAAGGATATTTACCGGGATTGCAACTGCAGTTTCCAAAATGAATAGGAAAAAAATCACAGACTTCATTTTTCTAGACCTGTAAACCAAGAAGATAATTAGCAGTAGTGGGTAAAATTTCCTTGTAAAAGATTAAAAGATACTCTGCTTAGCAAATATTGAGCTTGATACTGTCCTTTGTATTTAAAGGCAATTGTTGTCCTTGTGGACTAACATGTCTGAAAAGACTGATTAATGACAGTTTTTACCCAATCATGTCCCTCTGAGAATGACTCCTTGATTTTTTGGCCCAGCTGTGTTTGGCAGAACCTGTCTTTGTTTTGTTTTGTTTCTATTAATTTATTTATTTTCTTTTATTTTTGGCTGCGTTGGGTCTTCATTGCTGTGCACGAGCTTTCTCTAGCTGCAGCAAGCGGGGGCTACTCTGTTGCGGTGCACGGGTTTCTCACTGCGGTGGCTTCTCTTGTTGCGGAGCACGGGCTCTAGAGCGCAGGCTTCAGTAGTTGTGGCACGCGGGCTCAGTAGTTGTGGCACACGGGCTTAGCTTCTCCACGGCACATGGGATCTTCCCGGACCAGGGATCGAACCCGTGTTCCCTGCGTTGGCAGGCAGATTTTTAACCACTGCGCCACCAGGGAAGCCCACCTAGCTTTGTTGATGACTGTGCTTTCTTGGATAAAGGCTTTATGCAGAAAAACAAATACTGTATGCTAACACATATATATGGAATCTTAAAAAAAAAAAAAGTTCGATGAACCTAGGGGCAGGACAGGAATAAAGACGCGGACGTAGAGAATGGACTTGAGGACACAGGGAGGCAGAAGGGTAAGCTGGGACGAAGTGAGATAGTAACATTGACATATGTATACAATACCAAATATAAAATAGATAGCTATTGGGAAGCAGCTACCTAGCACAGGGGGATCAGCTCCGTGCTTTGTGACCACCTAGAGGGGTGGGATAGGGAGGGTGGGAGGGAGATGCAAGAGGGAGGAGATATGGGGATATATGTATACATACAGCTGATTCACTTTGTTATACAGCAGAAAGTAACACTGTAAAGCAATTATACTCCAATAAAGATGTTAAAACAAGCAAACAAACAAAAATGCAGAATGATCCAAGTAGGAAACCACTTCAAGTTTTAATGGTAAAGCAGATGCCTATGTTGTAGTTTTAAAGATAGGACCTTGTGGAACAATCCAGTATCTATTTAGAATGTAGAAGACCTTGAGTTCTTCTGCTGTGTTCCAATTTGTCCTTCAGACCAGTCACTGGGCATTTTTATCTCACTGAGCTCATTGTATTTGTCACACACTGATCAAAAATAATTTCACAGCCTTTAGCTTCTTATTTTAAGAACCGAACAAATGCGCTGATTTGTATGAATAAGACAGAGTGGAGAACTTTCCTGGGAAACAAGAGACTTTTGAAAACAACTGTCAAACTGAAGACTACAGGAGTCTTAATTAGCTGATGCTTGCAAAATACTTCAAAAATGAAACCCATGCTGTTCTTGCTAAGTACGATGAATACGATTTATTCTTGGATAAGTAAAACGTCATATATTTTGAGACATTTGAATTCGTGTGCACTCTCTACAAGATGCAGATTGTTATTTTTGCAGAAAGAGCAAATGAAACTCTATATAAAAAATGCAGAAGTGAGACAAATTTTTGAGTAGAGTTATTATTCTTGAAGACGTAAATATGCAGTGGTGATGTGAAATTAGATGAATATTATTTTGCCTAAATGTGTGAGCTGATTCAAAGGCAGCAGTATAGCTGAAAGAACACGTGGTATGAAATTGGAAGATCTAAGTCCAGACTTGAACTACTTTTTACCAGTAGAGAGACTTCAGTCAAGTCACTGGTTTCTGCATCTACAAAACAGGAAAAATAATAGTAGCTTTCCTACTTATCTTCTAGGGTTGAGACTCAAATGTGATCAGATAGTCATGTGATAATTTTATTAACTGTCAATATGAAATGAAAGATATTATTTCTTTGAAACATTGATAAGACAAAAAATGGCTTAATAACCCTAATAAGTAATAATCCACAGAGACTTTAATTCATCCTTTTACTTACAGTTCTTAAGTTATTTTTTTCTTACCTTTGTCCCATTGTTTCTTTTCATGGGTCTAGAGAGGTTAAAGATGAGAGATGGTGGGGAAATTCAAGGAGAGCCTTTTCCTTCTCTTAGGAACAAAGTGTCTCATTACCAAACGTTTAGGAGAACCTCATCTGGAATTTTAAGAGAGGACTGCTAGACTCCATTTTTTTAGGTATGGCCTTTCTAGGGAAGCCCAGGATTTAGAATTTCAAATGCCTGCAGTTCTTCTACTGCCTGGCCCATGTACCATCAAAACGAATATCCAGATGAAACGTTTGACATGGCAGAAATAGGTCTTCCATTAAGAACTAAACACCCACGAATGTCAATTCTATTCTAACTCATGCGAATAGTTGTCTTGACACAGTTTCTAACATTTTTCATTTAATATGTACAAGCAGTATGGCAAAGCAAAGATGCCTATCAGTTCTTTGCTGTTCCTCCCATTGAGAGGTGAAGCTGAATTCTCCTCACCTTGAATCCGGACTGGCCTTAGTGACTTACCTGACTGAACAACTGAGGCGGAATTGATGTTCTGGGACTTTGGAGGTTAGCTCATAAGAGGCCTTGGACTTCTGACCTTAATCTCTCGGAGTACTTGTTTTGGGAGTTCCAAGCCAGTTTGTAAGAGACTGTCACACCACAGAAGACACTGTTCATGGTCCCTGCTGATCCCAGCTATCCATGTGTCCTTGCAAAGGCACAGTGTATGTGAGTGGAGCCACCTTGGACCCTCCAGAGTGGCTCACCTGCCAGCTCAGTACCTCTGAGTGACCTGCTCAAACTCCTAGCGCACAAAATCTTGAGAAGTTATGTAATAATTGTTGGTTAAAGTCACAATTTGTAAGCAGCAATGAAGAATTGGACTGAACATTAAATATCTTGAGTGAAATATTCATTAGAAGTAGAATAACATGTTCATCAAAGTATTATCTTATTGAAAAAGTAGGTTCTTATCAATGACTGTTTAATATAGTAGCTAATGCAATGGCTTATATTTTTTGAGATTTTACTATGTGCCAGGTACTATGGTAAGTACATCACCCATGCATCACCCATGTATTCCCACCTGTCACCTCACCTCCACTTCGTAGAGTATCCATCCGTCCAATGAGAGCTTGCTGCACATCCCCCTGTGCCACTGTGCCCAGTCTTGAGTGAGGAGCATGGAAGCCAAAGGAATTTCCAAAGAGGTGGCCTTGACATTCTCAAAGATCTCTCTCTTTCTAGCTCAGGAGAAATTAGTATATTCTGCCTATTCTATAATGTGTAATTGAGGGATTCCTTTAACTATATTTAGAGGATCCCCACAGGCTTATCTCAGGCAAGACTGTGTGATAGCCTTGTTCCCACACCTCTTCATCATTCCTTTCAGAGTTCCTCATCTTACTGTGTCACCCACCACTCACTAATCTCACTGGGTCTCATTTCACAGCTTCATTCGGGATGGCCCCCTGGAGGCGGGGCTCTACTCCTCTCCTGAGGCATTTGCCAGTCCTTCAGAAAGTCGCCACCTCTCCCTGCCCTGGGGTGTAGGGGAGGGATGACTTTGGCCACATTTAATTGTCTTTGCTCAAATCATACTCTGATATCTGTCCTTTAAGTTCCTCTTTCTCTGTGAATGTGGGGCTTTCTCATATTTACATCTATTTATTCCTCCCTGCTTTTTTGCATATTCTTTGGGGTATAGACTTTTGAGTATGGCCAGAGGTGGATGTGCCAAAAAGCTAAGAAGCTTAAGTTTCAGGGCTCCTCTCTTTTACAGGCTCCTTACAAATCCCTACACCTCATTTTGATCTTTTTATTTTATTTTTTTCTCTTTTTTGAATTTTTCAAGTTTTATTTGTGGCCAAGTACAAGATATATATATATATATATATATATATATATATATATATATATGATATAGAAATATACATGATATTGGAATATATATAAATATACAAATGTTTTATTGACAAAGGTAAAAAAAAAAGCATGTTCTCTATTTGTATGTTTCGAAGTTCTATACACATCTATTAAATTGAGCTGGTTGATTTTAATACTCAGATCCTCTATGTCCCAGCTAAATTTATCTTCTAGATCTGTCAGATTTTGAAAGATTTATATTGGAATCTGTTACTGTAATTATGCATGCATTTTAAAAATATTTATTTATTTATTTTTGGCTGCGTTGGGTCTTCGTTACTGCGCACGGGCTTTCTCTAGTTGCGGAGAGCGGGGGCTACTCTTTGTTGTGGTGCACAGGCTTCTTATGGCAATGGCTTCTCTTGTTGGGGAGCACGGGCTGTAGGCACACGGGCTTCAGTAGTTGTGGCTCACGGGCTCAGTAGCTGTGGCTCACGGGCTCTTGAGCACGGGCTCAGTAGCTGTGGTGCACGGGCTTATTTGCTCTGTGGCATGTGGGATCCTCCCGGACCAGGGCTTGAACCCGTGTCCCCTGCATTAGCAGGCGGATTCTTAACCACTGTGCCACCAGGGAAGCCCATGCATGCATGTTTTAAAATGAGGTTCTTCTTTTATTTTTATATTTTTATTTTTTAAAAAAAAAGAAGTCCCAGGACTTCCCTGATGGTTCACTGGCTAAGACTCCACGCTCCCAATGCAGGGGGCCTGGGTTCGATCCCTGGTCAGGGAACTAGATCCCGCATGCGTGCCACAACTAGGAGTCTGCATGCCACAACTAAAGATCCCACATGCTGCAACGAGGATCCCTCATGCCGCAACTAAGACCTGATGCAGCTGAAATATCAAGCAATCAATAAATATTTTAAAATAATAAAAATGAAAAAGAAGGTCCCACACATTGTGTAAACCTCTGCTTCACAAGTGATGCTCACCTGAATGCCTGTGGCATTTGTCATGTCGCAGGACTTAGTAATATCTGAATGATTTGCTTCATAGTGCTAATAGCATGACAATTCACCTTCTGAAACCTCCCTAGCCCCTAAAAT